GGTTAATTGAAAATAATATATATATATTAATAATAGGTATATAGATAAAATATATAAAAATACATATATATATATATATATAAAGCGATAAAAGTAATAAATACATGTAAATAAGGAAATGAAACATAAAAAAAACAATAAAAAATAAATAAACAGAAAAGAAAAAGAAAATAACCGTATATATATATATATATTATATATATAAAATATAATATAAATACTAGTAAAAATAAATGAATTAAATTGCTCAGGGATTAAATCGTAAAAAACATAAATTAGGGGTCGAACATCAAATGAAAATAAAAATGGGAATTCATTTTAGGGTTCATTATGGGTGTTCGAAGATGACAAGGGACTGAAACAAATATTTACCCTTATTTACTAAAAAAACTCGCGGGCCAAAGAACGGGTCGGGTCAACACACGTGTTAAATGGTTTTAGTATAAAAGTTAATTTTTTTTTTAAAATCCTTCATTTTCCTTCTCCAAATCGCACGATCCCCCCCCGTTTTCTCTCATTCTCTCTGCCCAGTTCATGTGTTCTTGATGAACACATGAGCGCCGCCGCCAAACCCAGATTCCGACCGTCACTACTGGCGCCGACCGCCGCTCGCCGGTGATAGAATACGAAAAAGTTCATGTTTTCTTGAAGCTCTTTGTATATTCATTCCAATAATCTAAATAACTTCCTCGAAAAATGAAGCCTCGCGGTTTCAAATTCAAGATCAGCGTTTTAGCTTCAAATTCAAGAGAGACATTTTACATCACTAAAGAATCTGAGCCTTTTACCTTCTGCTCACTTCTCGGGAATATTTTCGTAACTGCCGAATGTACTACTAGAAGAAAATAATCTCTGCAAAAGTTTACTTGTATTTCGTATATATTCCGAATGCCTTTTACAATGGTTGATTACAGTTATTTATAGTAGTAAAGTATGTTGTTTTGTTTTTGAATCCTACTCTAACTTAGTTGATTGGTGTTGATCTTTGCGACGAACGGTTCGGAGTGGGTTACCGTGAAACTCGATCGTTGAGAGGCGTGTAACTGTGGTGGCGTGCCATTGTAAAACTTGGGCAGAGGCGTAGAGGAAACGACACTGTGGGAATTTGAAGAGACGTGCTGCGAGAGGGGACCTTGGTGAAGAGGCTGCGGCGCTGATGGTGAGAGGCGGCTGGAACTGCTAGGGTTTGGGAAACCCTAGCTGACCTGGGTTAGGGGTTCCACGGGTCTTGGGCTTTGTTAAAAATGGGCTATTGTTAGGCCATTTTATTTAATGTATTGGACCTGTACATAATAAAAGAGTATCTGTTAATAAAATAATAATAACGCATATAATATATATATAATATGTTCTATATTAAATATTATAAATGGGACGAAATTTGGTGTCTACAGGGGGACAACAACCTACTGCAACGATTACATACATCGAGGCGAAATCGTTTCTAAGGCAGTGATTCATACCACGACACGATTATTTGTTTCTTGTTCATTTTGTTTATTATCATCTAGTCAGTGCTAACAGTTTGAATTTTACAGTCTCTTTACCAACATTTCCTTCCCTCTAGGTAAAATTACAATTAAATTTAAAATTATCAAAAAAGAATAAAGAAAAATTGCACCTTTGGAGAAATGCAGCGATTGATCCTTTTTTTTAACGTTTTGTGCTTAGGTGTAATCAGTTAAATGTTGATGGTTTTGTATGAAGTGGATGTTAATTTGATTTATTTGTTGGTCAAATTTCATTTATCGTCGCAGCTGCAAATAACCTACAAAACTTAACCGGCCTTCCGCCCTACATCATAACATTTTGCTTTGCAATTACTTGACATTTAGCAAGTCCAATTATGCTGCCACCTATGGTGTTTGAATGTGACTCAATCAACCAGTATTCCCATCCATAAAATTTCAGACATTTTATTTAAAAAATTTACACGCTCAAACTTTTAATAAATAATTTATTATATTCAATTAAAACATCCAAAGCTTCGAAACCAAATATAACTATCAATTACCATTTGGTTAAAGTACACAAATGTTATTCCTTAACTATTAAAAGTTACAAAATGATAACTCTACTATTCATTATGCTCTAAACCCGTCCTTTTTACTACAAAATTAACGGTCATCTGAGTTAGACGTTAACATACTGACTTAGATATGATAGTCGTTTGAGATTATGAGATCATCTCAGTTAGCAGGTTAACGTACAACTCAGATTGTCGTCAAATTTTCAACGGAAAAATGATTAGTTTGGAACATAATGAATAGTCGGGTGACCATTTTGTAATTTTTAATAGTCGAGAGATCTAATAAAGTAATATCTTGTAGTGAAGGGACCATTTATGTACTTTATCCTTTATATTTTAATAGATGTTGAAATTCTAAGAGAAATAAAAAAAAAAGTAAACTACATTCTTAGTCACTAAATTTTAGTGTTTATCTCATTTTTTGTCATTAAATTATAGGTTATTTCAGTTTTATTATTAAAATTTTCAAATTATTATTATTGTAGCATTAAATGATAAATCATCAACAACCTGTTAACATAATATTTTGGTGTTGATACGGAATTCAAAGTTTTTACCTCATCATTGTCTTCATCGGAATTAGGGTTTTCACCCGTTTCAATCTTCACCAAAAATTGACATTCTATGTATGACAATCCTAGATATCGAAGAAGATGTCATATCATCATTTTGATTTAAATTTTTTAAAATCTCTTTAAAACTCACAAAAGTAAACACACAAACAAAATCTATTATTTTTTAAAGTTTGGATGCTTTCTCGAATTTGAGGGATTCATGGTGTTTGTTAAAAGATTAAAATGGCGAGCAACATTTTTTGAGAAAATGAATAATATATTTTGAAACTATCATCACCAAATGATGGTCGAAGGAGATCGAAACGTTAGAATGTTGAATCTTTAGATTTTTTTCTTTTTTATAATTTTAAATAAGTTTCATTGAAAATCAATCCAGAAGAAGAAAGATGAGTGAAATGCAAATATTTTAATATTGATCTTATTGTGAATGACGATAAATGATTGGAACGATTAACTGAAACCACAATCAAAGGAATTGATTATCTTTTGTAGAAAACTAAAAAGACAACTATAAGAATACAACTAATATATTGATAATACTAAAATAATTTTAAATAATTTAATAACTAAAATCAGACTAACACTAAACTTTTTTGACTAACCGTATAGCCTATGAGTAGAAGAATTAAAGATGGCAAAAAAAAACTTAATATTTTTTAAGTTATAACTATAATTACATATGTGCGGCATAATCAATGTTACTGAGTACAATTCACAAACATGATACAACTAATATATCAATATAATTATAAATTAAAATTTACTTTTATAAATTATAAACGAATTAATAATGAAATATATCTAAACCTATATCACAATATTTGAACTAATTAATTCTAACAACAAAATTATTCAATAATCTAATCTATCAAGTGACCTTAATAGTTAAAGGGAGTGTTGTTTTTCCTTAATGTCCTTGGTTCGAATATTGTGTTTGCAGAGTGTGTGCATTTTTAATAATTAAAAATGTCATGGGTTCGAACAACTGCATTTACAGAGTGTATGCGTTGTTAATTATTAAAAATATTCTGAACAAATATTATATTATAATCAATTTAGACTATTCAAAAAAATATCAAAACTTGAACATCCATTGGGTTAAAAAAAAAAACTATTACGGAGAAAGCCATGCAAGCTGTATGGTGTGGTGAACTTGGGAAGGTGATTCGAAGTGCAGCCGGCCAAGAAATTATTATTAGTATTTAGGAAATTAATTAGACTGGTCAAATGATACTCTGGTCTTCTTTTTTCCTCAAAGCCTTTTTGGGCAAGCTTATTCGTAAACGCCACAAATATTAGTGTTATGAAGACAATAATGTAAGGTTCCAAACCCCCTTTATCTAACATTATTTTCTCATGCAACTGAACTTTCACTTTTGATGATTTCTACGCAAAATTGCCTTCATTAAAAATTGAAGATTTTGCAGTCATGCGCCTCTATTGTCAGGTTTCTCTATATTCTCCCCATGATTTTATCTCTATATTCCACCATTCCATTCTAGTTTCTAGTTGCATAATTTAGTCCTATCATATGCGGACGTCGAGAAATTATTTGATAAATCTGTCTCACCACGTCATCTATGGTCCCAATAAATGAGAGCCACGAATTTTAAAATAATTTTCAAATAACTACACGCTTCTTATTTACATGTAGGAAAGAAGTGAAGATTCACCTTGAAAAAAACGATATAGACAAATATTATTGGTTGGGATCACGGATGACACGGTGCGCCGGGACCGTCTAATAATTTTTCGTGGATGTCACATGCAAATTTGAAAAGAAAACGCATAATATAATACATTAAGTTCAAGTACTCTATATATACACATAATTTTTCATGAGATCATGAATATAATTGATGAATATGTCTTCTTTTTATTTAATTATACGTCCAAAAGTTTTATATATGTGCTGCAAATGGGGGGCATGATCAACAAAAACCAGGCAGGGAAGGGTGGCTGGTGGCTTTAACAAACAAATTGATTTTAAATCATCACCTGCTCCTGGATGACATTGTTTGCCAACCTCCATTAATGGAACTTATTTACGAACCAATATATAACCTCGTTTGCCAAGTATTTGTAAGACAAATGGCTCCCCTATATCTTTGATGTTTACAATCTACCTTTAGATTCTAGGTATGGTCATGCATGATGTAAGTATAAAGTGACTATTGTACCTAAGTGGGAGTGAAAGATATAGAAAAAGAAAAGCTAATATTTGTAGGGGAGATGGTTTGATAATATTCATAAATTGGAGGGCTTCCACCGCAAAAATATACAAGTTCCGGAAAGATTGGATAGAGACCTTGGTGTTGGGTGTATATATAAAACTAAACCAACCTTGGATCAATCGTATAGTTCAGTCGGTAATCCCTAAATTATTATAACTTTTATACTCGATTTGATTCCTACGGTACCTTAGTCTCTTGATACAGCTAAATTCCTTAATCTAGTAGGCAGCCATGGCCATGGCCATAGATAACGCCTTGGAGTTCGAGGTCGACTTCTCTTCTTACAGTACCAGCACAACCACCACCACTACTACAGATGATGACCCTGCACGTGCCTGGAACGACTGGTGTTCCCCAGTTGTTGATTGGGGCTCGTTATCGAGCGACCGTGACGAGTTTCAAGATCTCATTGAGTCCATGATGGATGATGGAACAGGGTTCGAGTTGGCTCAAGTCGAGAATGAGTCGAGTGACTCTGTTTCTGTTTCTGTTTCTGTTTCTGCCTCGACTGATAGGATTATTGCGGATGATGAAACGAACAGTGGGGATTTGAAGGGGTTGAGATTGGTTCACTTATTGATGGCTGCTGCCGAGGGGCTCATGGGAGCTACCAAGAGCCGTGAACTAGCTCGGGTGATATTCGTTCGACTCAAGGAGTTGGTATCCCCCAATGATGGAACCAACATGGAAAGGTTGGCAGCCTACTTCACCGAGGCCTTACAAGGTCTACTCGAAGGCTCCGGTGGTGACTATTCCAAATGTTTGATAACCAATGGAACTCATCATCACCGTGACAGACACCATCAATCAGACATGATTGCGGCGTTTCAGCTGTTGCAGGACATGTCACCATATGTGAAATTCGGTCACTTCACGGCCAATCAAGCTATCCTGGAAGCAGCGAGTCATGACAGGAGGATCCACATAGTGGACTACGACATCATGGAAGGGATCCAATGGGCGTCTTTGATGCAAGCTTTGGTGTGTAGGGAAGGACCACCAACCCCACATCTTAGGATCACGGCTTTATCAAGAGGTAGTAACGGCTGTCGATCATTTGGGACCATTCAAGAGACTGGTCGACGGTTAGCCGCTTTCGCGGCCTCTATTGGGCAGCCTTTTTCTTTCCATCAGTATAAGCTGGACTCCGATGAAACATTTAGACCGTCGGGCGTGAAGTTAGTACAAGGTGAGGCCTTGGTGATCAATTGTATGTTGCACTCGCCTCACTTCAGCCACCGAGCACCTGGTTCGGTCGCTTCGTTCTTATCCGGCGCCAAGACTCTGAATCCAAGATTGGTGACCGTGGTGGAAGAAGAAGTGGGACACGTGGGAAATGGAGAGTTCATGGGACGGTTCATGGACTCATTGCACCATTACTCAGCCATGTTCGACTCATTAGAAGCCGGATTCCCTACGCAATGCAGGGCTCGAACCTTGGTCGAAAGACTAATTCTGGGGCCTCGAATAGCCGGATCCTTGAACCGGATTTACCGGACCCGAAACGAAGACGAGAGTGGACCCTGGTGGGAATGGTTAAATAGAGTAGGTTACAAGGCAGTTAACATCAGCTTTGGTAATCATTGTCAAGCAAAGCTTCTGGTAGGATTATTCAATGATGGATTTAGAGTGGAGGAGTTGGCCAATAACAGGCTCGTATTAGGCTGGAAATCCAGGCGTTTGCTCTCTGCTTCCATATGGACGTCTCCTCCATACTCTGATCTGTAAAAAAAAGAAATTATATACGCATACGCTGTCGTTTCCTTTGTCTTTTAATTTTCATGTTAATATTTGGACAAAATTGTTGGAATTAAGATGTAATAATCCTTAGTCGATGCAAATCACAAAGAACTTGATTCGGTTGTGAGCAAATGGTAATGCGGCTGCTTGTAAGAAGAAGATGAGCTTGTTTCGTATGTGGTTTTCCAATTTCATTGTCTGTATATTTTTGTTTATTTGATCTGGCTGTAGCTTTCACTTCCATTTTGCTCCACAGCGACATCCAAGTCATATTTAAATCTGCTCTGATTTTAAATCAAACAAAGGGTCAAAATACCCTTTTACGAATAAATATCAAATCAATACCACGGCTCAGTGGTCACTACTCTTGTTCTTACCTAACACCACTTGTAATAATATCAACTATCCTTTAAATAAAATATATTTTCACACTGAATTGACGCCTAAATTAATCTTATAATCATATTAATTATCTTTTAAATAAAATATATTTTTGTGTTTTTCCATATGAATTGATTACCTGCATGAGTTAATTATCACATACAATAAAAATAAATTAAGTATTCATCTGAAGCAAGAGGTATGGGGAAAGTAGTTAAATTTGGAGATTAATTTTAAATAAACAAAAATTTCATGTATTAATGTAAAAAAACTCAAAGATTAGTGTAGAGCGAAAAATAAAACTTGAGGATTAAATAAATATTTATCCTAAACTAAAGCCAACTAAAAAACGCCAACATGATATATATTATATATATATGTTAGGAAATAAACGAATAATTTCTCTACAACCAGATTAGTGAGAATGAGAAATAAAAACGGAAAAATAATACCCAAAATTGATAACAGAGTTCGGCCAATTATGCCTACGTCTCCAGACTGTTGCAGATCTTTTACTAAAGAGAGAAAATTTACATGTGTTTACAAAACACACACAACTCACAAGAAAACTCTCTAAACTCTTTAGTATTGGGAGAAAGAAATGATTTGGGATGGTTTTTGAAGCTAAATGGGTTAGGGTATTTATAGTTGAAGCTTAAGGACTAATCTTGTAAATATCTTATAGTATATGGGCTAAATTTGGTATTTTCCCTTGCCAATTTCCACCATTTCAGCTGCCAACTTTCAACTAATCTTGTTGCCAACTTTGAACCACCAAATTCACGGTGGCTGCAGCAAAATATGACCTTTGAAACCTGCAAATTATTGACTTTTCAACAATCTCCCACTTGAAGACTGATTTTAATCTGTCTTCACTGCTCGATCAATGCAACAACATTTCTGGTCTTGTTATTCTAGCATGCCAACTGAAGCTGAACACAACTTCAGTTTGTCTGTAGTCATCGTCTTTGTTGACATAAGCGAGTTCATCTCATCTTTCATGGAAGACTCCAATTTGACCGAATCCTCCACCTACATTGCTTCATCATAGCACTCTGGTTCACCATTATCAATTAACAACAAGTTGTGCATAGAAGGCGAATAACGCTGGGTTGGTTTAGGAATTCTGGAGGAGCGTCTTAGTTCTGGTGTGCCTGGTTCTTCTTGAACTGCTTCAGGACTGATCTGAACATCATTTCCATAAATCTCCTCGAACTCAACAAATTTCTTTGTTTCAGCTTCGGTATTGGAGCTACTTGGTTCTATGGTTGATCTGTCTTTGTACACCGTGTTCTTATTGAAAATGACATCTCTGCTTCTAATGATCTTTTGATTTTCATAGTCCCAAAATTGGTAGCTGAACTCATCACCACCATAACTAAAAAAGACACAATTGTTGGACTTGGCATCAAGTTTACTTCTTTCAGCAGAATTTATGTGTACATAAGAAATACAACCAAAACACTCTTAAGTGTGAAAGGTTTATTTCTTTTATGCTCCAAACTTCCTCTGGTATTCCACCATCCAAGGGAACTGAGAGCCCACGGTTGATCAGGTAAGCTGCGGTGTTGATAGCTTCAGCCCATAGCAATTTAGGCAATCCAGCATGTATCCTCATGCTTTTGGCACGTTCATTCAGAGTTCTGTTCATGCGCTCTGCTACGACATTCTGATGCGGTGTCATGAGAATTGTTGTCTCCATCTTGATCCAATTTTTTGCGCAGAAATATCTGAATCTACTATTTCTGTACTCTCCTCCATTATCAGACCTCAACCGCTTGACTTTCAAACCAGTCTCATTTTCCACCATGGCATTCCATTTTCTGAAGGTATCAAAGACTTCTGATTTCTTCTTCATAAAATAAACTCACACCTTCCTTGTAGAATCATCGATAAAAGTGACATAATATAGTGACCCTGCAAGAGATGGAACTGGAGATGGTCCCCATACATCAGTATGAACCAACTCTAACTTTTCAGCCTTGGGTGTCTTGTCAATCTTTGTAAAACTGAGTTTCTTTTGTTTGCCAAAGATGCAATCCTCACATAGTCCGACATCTATACTCTTTAGGTTCGACAGCTTCCCTTTTGATAAAAGTGTCTTCATCCCTTTATTGCTCATATGGCCAAGCCTTTGGTGCCATAGGTTTGATTTTTCATCAGCATCTGCTACTGCAATGGTATTCTTCAAGTTTGAGGTTACATAGAGAGTACCAATCTTCTTACCACGAACAATGACGAGTGCTCCTTTGGTAATATTCCATTCACAACCTGTAAAGGTTATACTATATCCTGCTCCATCAAGCTGTCATACAGAAATCAAATTTCTTTTGAGGACATGAATATGTCTCACTTCTTTCAGCTTCCAGGTGGTCTGGTTTGGCAACTTTAATCGGATGTCTCATTTTCCGACGATCTTCAAGGTTTCATCACCAGCTAGATGAACCTTCCCAAAATCACCACTGACATAGTTCTCCATGATTTCTTTGCATTGAGTGGAGTGGAAAGATGCCCATGAATCCAAGATCCATGATTTAATCAGACTGTTAACGCTTAGAATCATGGCATCACCTGTCTCCTCTGTCATGTTGGCAGATTCCTGTGCGCCGGTATCTTTCTTCGGTACTCGACAATCTCTTTTAAAGTGACCCTTCTTGCCACAATTATAACAGTTAAAATATTTCTTTCCCGATTTTGATTTTCCCCTTCTAGATTTCGATCTGCCACGATTTAGATTTCTTTATGAAATTCTCCCTCTAGATTCTGTGTGCAAGGCTGAAGAGTTTGATGCTTCACCCGATTCTCTCCGTTGAATTTCTTCACTCAATACCAGATCCCGAACATCGTCGAATTTTAATTTACTGTTTCCCGACGAGCTGCTGACTGCTGTAACAGTAGCATTCCAACTGTCTGGTAGAGATGATAAGATAATTAAAGCTCGAACTTCATCATCGAATTCAATTTCCACGAAACTTAATTGGGTTGTGATTGTGTTGAGTTTATTTAGGTGTTGAGCCACTGATGCCCCTTCCATCATCCGCAAATTGAATAATTGCCTCATCATGTGAACTTTGTTTGAGGATGATGGCTTCTCATACATACTGGAGAGAGCCGCCATAAGACCCATCGTGGTCTTTTCCTTTGCTATGTTGAAAGTAACACTGCGGGATAACGTCAGTCGGATAACTCCGAGGGCTTGTCTGTCGAGAAGAGCCCGATCTTCATTCTTCATGCCCTCTGATTGCTTTCCTAAGAGAGATTCATATAGATTTTTCTGGTACATAAAATCTTCAATCTGTATCTTCCAAAAGCCAAAGTCTGCACCATCAAACTTCTCAATTTTCATATTCTCTTCGTTTGCAGCCATCGCTCCCACTCAAATCTGGCTTCAATTGGATCGTTTCTGACAATTCCTGCGAACCACCGTGTATTAGAACACCTCCTTCGAAAAGCTTGTATCGCCGACCAAATTTTACTATTCACGAAATTCACTATTCACATGAATAGTAACCTTGTAGAAAAACTGACAAAATTCACCACCAAAAGCTCCTGATACCAGTTGTTGGGAAATAAACGAGTAATTTCCCTATAACCATATTAGTGAGAATGCGAAATAAAAGCGAAAAAATAATACCCGAAATTGATAACGGAGTTCGGCCAATTATGCCCACGTCTCCAGACTGCTGCAGATATTTTACTAAAGAGAGAAAATTTACAGTATTTACTAAACACTCACAACTCACAAGAAAACTCTCTAAACTCTTTAGTATTGATTGAAAGAAATGATTTGTGATGGTTTTTGAAGCTAAATAGGTTATGGTATTTATAGTTGAGGCTTAAGGATTAATCTTATAAATACCTTAAAGTATAGGGACTAAATTTGGTAATTTTTCCTTGCCAAATTTCCAACATTTCAGCTGCCAACTTTCAACTAATCTTGCTGCCAACTTTGAACCTCCAAATTAACGGTGTCTGCAGCAAAATATGACCTTTGAAAGCTGCAAATTATTGACTTTTCAACAATATATATAAACCTATTTTTTTAAATATAATTATTTATATTCTGTTAATTAATTAAGTAATTCAATTCAAGTACTATAAAAACTCATTATGATGATAATTTTTTATTAAATTATTTTTTAAACATTTAATATTATTTTAAAAATATAATGCTTCATTTATTAGACCAATCAATAAAGCTTGCACTACGCACTCTCAGCTCAGATCAGCAGCATCTTTTTAAAATTAACACATTGTTGGTGTCGGGTTATTTAGATTAATTTTTATGCATAGAAATTTACAATTATTAAAGTTAAAAGCTTGACATTGATGTGTAGTTGTAATTAGTTTTATAATTTTTTAAGCAATAATGACAAGTTGAAGCTTTTGAAAATGTCGAGCTAGTCAAGACCTCCGGCGCAAACATGATGTAATTGAAGGCAACAGTTTCCCCTCACGATTGTCCCCCTTAATTAAAATTAAAAAGTCGGTTCATAAATTTAAATAATGAAAAAACTTATGCACCAATAAAAAGAAACTGCCATAAATTTCGTGCCAACATTTATAAATTATTTTAAGAATTGATGGTGAAATTTTTAATAGATTTCAAGTATTATTAGCGTTAATCAAATTGCCATTTCATTCATCAT